CCCCAAAACCCCAAAACCCCAAAACCCCACTTTTGAACATCGATAGTGTTACAAATGAATTTACTCAAAATTCGAATTTAAAATAGTTATTAGTGTTTAAATGAATGACTCAAATTCTAAGGATTTGTAATTAGCTTTTGCTTTCAATAAAACATTACAAATATACCCATTAGGATAAAAGTCATGCTAATACTGAAACATGAGATCCCTAAACTTGATTTAACTTCTTATTTCATGTAGATATATCTCTGATTAAGAGATTAAACTATCCTATTATTGCCATGACCATTAGCAAATGTTTAATTATTCATCCATCTGTCGTTAAAAACTTTCACCTAAGCTGAAGAAATAGGCTAAGGATCATTAACTACAATCCATTCAACTGTTTCATTGCAGGGAGGAGTGGTAAGTGACCCATCATAGTGGAATATTTTGTTCTTGTTTAGCTTCTTGACAAGATTCATTGTAGGAATAGTTACGTTTTGCACATTTTTTTCTCCTATTTTTAAACTTGAGATGAAATCGTTAGCCTGATTTCCTCCTTTTTCAACGTCGAAAGGTACAGATAGGACAGCTAATCTGTCCCTTGTTTAATGCTTATGCACAAAATGTATCTCTAAGTCATAATGTCTTCCATCGAATGTATGCTCTGAGGGAGCATGTACGTGAAATTGTACCAGCTTATATGTATCTAAATAGTCATTCTCGTCCCACAGCGCAAGAAATCCATCTGTGAATGGCACCTCATATGTAGTAATTAGATCTTCTACAACAACTTAGCTCATTACACTATCTGTTAATATCAACTCTAGTTTTTGATTTTCAACAAGTCTCACTGAATTTACGGTAAAGCTTCCAAGGCTGGTAGGGATATCTATTGGAGATTACTTTTTGCCCTAAATAAGCTTTTGAGAGTATCAATAGGCTTACCACAGCACACCAACCTTCTGTCCAGTTTTCACCTCCCTCTTTGTAGTTTGTGATTGATTTTACTTAATTTACTATGCAGATAAAACCCCAAATTGTAGCTATTGTTATAATTCTCATCATCTATTTTCAAATGGTATTAATTATTAAATCAGAATTTATGCAATCCATAAGACTTACTCATTTAAATTGAATAATAATAATTCATGAAGCTATAAAATTGCTTCAATTTTACATTATGGGGTTTTGGGGTTTTGGGGTTTTGGGG